TGGGGCCACAGTCCTTCATAAATGTGAAAAATAACATTTATGGGGACACAGATGTCAAAACTCTCAAAAAAGTCAGATATTCTCAGTCCCTACATCTGCCTGCTGTTGCAAACTCAAAGGGAATTTTCCAGTAAATCCCAAGGAGGAAAAAATCAGAGTTCCAGCAGAAAACAGAAGCTGAGGATGAAACTCTCCCTCTCACCCACCAAAGCAGAACAAAATGTGCCCCCAAAATTCACCCAGCTCACCTCAGAGAAATGCTGCAGGGCCAGGTGAGCCTTCCCCATGAGGAAATAGGCTTTAAGGCAGTTCTTATTGCACTGGGGTAAACCAGAAATCATTATGAGTTATGTCTTTAGAACATTTCAGCCTTTTCAGTATTTTTCCCAGCACTCTGATTAATTATTGTTTATTAATTATTAAAATTCTGATTATTATTAGAGCTGCCCAAAGCAAAGATTAGGGTGTTTATACTGTTTATTAGTGGTGGCTAATGTTTTTATGCTGAATTATTGCCCCCAGGGACCCAAAAAACACAGGCTTGAGGTGAGGGTGAAAAGCAAGGTTTCCAAAAGGTGAATATTTTCCTGTTCATTTGAGTCAAAAATATGGGTTTCTGTAAATAATGCTGATTTTGGGGGTCGTTTCCCCTTGGCAATTGTGGAATTACCTTTAATGCCCACTCACAGTCACTGATGGCTTTCTCATACTCATGGAGCTTCAGGTAGGCCTGAAATAAATAACAAAAAAGTCCAGGCAGAAGAATTGGAATCCTTCAAACAATTTCTGCTCGCTGTTGCACAAACACGCTGATTAAAAAGAATGAAATGAGGCTGCTGATTGGCCTGGCCATTGATTTTGCAGGGTAATTTCCATTCTTAACTTGTCTGCCATCTCCCTGGATGTTCTAATTTAGAATCAATTGAATAGAATTCTAAATGACACACAAACACACAGAGTGTGCAAGGCAAACAGAGACTGCAGAGCAAATATTTCACTCTGCAGTTATCGAAGGGATTCCTGGAAAAGATATATATTAAATATATCTAATATATCTAATATCTATAATATATAGTATACAATATAGAATATAGAATACATAATATACAATATACAATACATTATATATAATATAATATATAATATATAATATGTAATATATTATATATTATATGTTACATATTATATATTATATGTTATATATTATATATTATATATTATACATAGTATATAATATAATATTAATATATAATGTTATTATATAATATAAATAATATTTACTGTATTTTATTTTATTTGTTATTAATAATAAAAAAATCAGAGTATTTGACTCAAACTGGGAATTGAGATTATTTTCCCCACCTGCTCTGCAGGAGCAGGGTCTCACCACCTCCAAGGGATGTAACAGAGCAATGTTTTGGGTTTTTTACCCTGGCACAGCCCCACAAAACCCAGCCACACGTGGCTCCTGCCCTGGCACTGACCTGGGCCCTGTTAGTGTAGAGCTCCTGCTTGTCCCTCAGCTTCTCCAGCCCCTCCGAGTACCTCTGGATGGCCAGGGCAAAGTCTCCTGCCCTGAAGGCTTCATTGCCCTGCTCCTTCAGGGCTGACAGCAGCACAGTGCATTAGAACAGCAACAATCCCCAGCAATATTTCATTTATTTCATCCCCCAGTGGGACTGAGCAGGCAGAGCCAGGCTCTCCTGCTGGGACAGCCCCAGGGTTCCAGCCCAGCCATTATTTCCATTATTATTTACATTGTTTCCATTATTATTTCCATTATTTCCATTATTTCTCTGCAACCATTCCCCTTCCAGAGGGAAATGGAGCGTTCCCCTCTCCTCCCTCCATCCCACAGCAGCTCCACCACCCGGTACCGTGCAGAGCACCAGGAGCAGCAGCTCTGAGGAGCCCCGGGCCTGTCCCAGGGCTCCCCCAGGCCCTGGCAGGCATTTCTGGGGCTGCTCTCAGCAGTCACCGTTTGCCAGCTTCTCATTCCTCCTCCTCCTCCGGGCTCGCTCCTTGGCATCCTTCTCCAAAGCTGCCAGGAAGCCATCTTCCGAACAGCAGGGTTGGTGGCATTTTAGAGGGGGAAAAAAAGAGCAAACTTCATTAAAACAGCGTAAAAACAATAATTCCCAGGGTGCTTGTGAGTCATTTCTTAATAAAAGCCAACACCAAGGGGCCGTTTCAGCAATTAAAGTGGAAGTGGCTGACGAGCTGTCACACGAGGATGATGCCAGCCCTGAGGAGCTGCACACCTGCCTTGCTCCTCCCCAGGGCCAAACAAACAGGTTCGCTTCGAAATTCACAATAAAAAGTGTAAAGGGATGAGGAGCCAGAAGAGAACAAGGCTCCCACCTGTGGAAAACACAGCCACGGTGCTGAGACCTTGAGTGTGCTCCTGGATCTGACTGAATTTTGGCTACAGACACCAGGAAAAGGGCTGGAATCAGCTCTTGCATGAGCTCCATCCCTGCTACAACTGGTTTTGGAGCTTGGTTTTATTTAGAGAGGAGCAGTGTCCTACCTGCATCTGCTGCCTGCACCCTCGGCGTGCCCTGGAAGAACAGAAACAGAAATTAAATGGTTTGGAAAAGCCACAAATGGTTCGGGAAAGCAAGAAATGGTTTGGGAAAAGCCACAGCAGCATCAGGAATGTCTGGTGCGCCTGAAATCCCCAGCCTGACACACAGCAGGAGCACCAGTTTGATATTTAATCAAAAAAAATGGTAAAGATTTAATAAATTCTGGCATTCCTGGGAAGTTCCCATCTGTGTGTTTAACCTGGAGTGAGCCCAGCTTTAATTTCAGAGGGAAAAGCCCTTACAGAAGGGTTGATGAGCGTTCTGTTCACCGTGGTCCTGCACTCCTCCTCCTCCTCCTCCTCCTCCTCCCTGCCGGCCCCTTGCTCTCGGAGCCTTTTCTCTGTCTCAGCGATGGCTTTTTCCTGCACTGCCGAGTCCGGGGACTTCAGCCCTTGCAGCAAATTGGCTAAAAAATCACAGAAAAGCCCCAAATAAAATATAAATACACACAGGACTCAAACGTGGAAGGACCAGGAGTTCAGGCGGCTCTGAAGGCAGCGCTGGCCAGGACAGCTTTTACCATAAACCCACAGAGTCCCTGAGTGGTTTGGGGTGGAAAAGACCCTAAAACCCATCCAGTTCCCTGGGCAGGGGCCTCTCCCATAGCCCGGGACGCTCCAGCGTGGCCTTGGGCACTCTGAATAAACAGAAACTTTCCCGGGGCGGATTTTGTGTCACTTTCAGGACAGAAAGCTGCAGTTTCTGCAAACATTACCGAAATCCACAGGAGCAAGCGGCTCTCAGCATCCCGAATAAAGGCGGGAGCCGCTCCGAGCCTCCGGCAAACACCGAACAAACCGAACCGACCGGGGCACAGCGGGATTTGCCCCTTTCCCACCGATGTTCTGCCTTCCTTG